AAGTATTTGTATCAGATCTTGGCTGCCGGGTCTTAGTTTTAACTACTAGTCATGCTGTGTGTTCATGCCAGAAACTACTACTATTATTATTATTACTACTAAAAATATATATATATATATATTCTAAAGACAGAGTTTTGCTCTTGTTGCCCAGGCTGGAGTGCAATGGCATGACCTAGGTTCACTGCAAACTCTGCCTCCCCGGTTCAAGTGATTCTCCTGCCTCAGCCTCTTGAGTAGGCGGTATTACAGGTGCTCACCACTATGCCCAGCTAATTTTTTTTTTTTTATGGCAGCACTTTTATTTTTCCTTAACACAATGATGTGTTGCTGGGACCTCATGTTCTCACATAACAGTAGAAAACCAAAATTTGTTGCCATCTCTTTAAAGAATCGAGAGTTGCGTACAAAAAAACCTTACATAAGTGAAAAGGATGAATACATTTACGGGTGTAAATGCAAACTGCTTCCAACTCAAGGCAAGTAACAGGCCACGGTGCTCTGGCAGGAAAACATCAGCTAAGAAAGGAAACTGGGTCCTGTGGCTTGGACTTTCCAGCCTGGCAAGGGCTGCCAGTCTCTAGAGCAATCCCGGCACACTCAGCCCTGACACGTGAATACCCTGCACAGACAGGAGCCTGCTGGCCACGCAGACTCGCCAAGCCAGCCTTGTCTGCCATAAGCACGTTCTTACCTCAGCCACAAAGTGACCAAGCCACATGTACTAAGGGTTGAAGTCAAAGATATGTACAGGGTATTAAGCAAATACCAAGGGGAACAGTTAACTTGAATACAAGGTCAAAATCAGCAACAAGTTCTACAATCCCGTGCTGATATCAGATACAAGCTTCAAGGACAAGTATTTTTCGAAGGCTTATTCTAGTTTCGTGAGGCTAGCATGAGGTGTATGCATTTGCCAGGGGCAAATTTATACTTCTGAATTAACCCATGCAGCAAATGCTACGCATCTGCTCGCAGTCCATTTAGAAGCATTTGTGGTAGACGATGGAGGGGCCAGACTCGTTGTACTCCTGCTTGCTAATCCACATCTGCTGGCAGGTGGACAGTGAGGCCAGGATGGAGCCACCGATCCACAGAGAGTACGTAACGCTCTGGGGGAATGATGACCTTGATCTTCACGGTGCTGGGTGCCAGGGTAGTGATCTCCTTCTGCATCCTGTCGGCAATGCCTGGGTACATTGTGGTGCTGCCGGACAGTACCGTGTTTGTGTACAGATCTTTGTGGATGTCCACGTCATACTTCATGATGGAGTTAAAGGTGGTCTCATGGATGCCATGAGAGTCAATGCCGAGGAAGGAAGGCTGGAACAGCACCTCCGGACACCGGAACCGCTCGTTACCAGTGGTGATGACCTGGCCGCCGCACAGCTCATAGCTCTTCTTCAGAGAGGAGGAGGAAGTGGCTGTGGCCACCTCCTGCTCGAAGTCCAGGACGACATAGCACAGCTTCTCCTTGATGTCGCACACGATCTCCCGCTCCGCCATGGTGGTGAAACTGTAGCCATGCTCGGCGAGGATCTTCATGAGGTAGTTGGTCAGGTCCCGGCCAGCCAGGTCCAGACACAGGATAGCGTGGAGAAGGGCATAGCCCTCGTAGATGGGCACCGTGTGGGTGACCCCATCTCCAGAGTCCATGACAATGCCAGTGGTGCACCCAGAGGCATAGACGGACAGCACAGCCTGGATAGCCACGTACATGGCCAGGGTGCTGAAGGTCTCAAACACGATCTGAGTCATGCTCTCTCTGTTGGCCTTGGGGTTCAGGGGGGCCTTGGTCAGCAGCACGGGGTGCTCCTCCAGGGCCACACACAGCTTGTTGTAGAAGGTGTGGTGCCAGATTTTCTCCATGTCATCCCAGTTGGTGACGATGCAGTGCTCGATGGGGTACTTCAGGGTCAGGATGCCACGCTTGCTCTGGGCCTCATCGCCCACGTACGAGTCCTTCTGACCCATGCCGACCATCACACCCTGGTGCCGAGGGCGCCCAACAATGGAGGGAAACACGGCTCAGGGGGTGTCGTCCCCAGCAAAGCCAGCTTTGCACATGCTGGAACTATTGTTGATCACGAGCGCAGCAATTTCTTCTTCCACTGAGACAGGCGGAGGAGTGGGGCCGCAGAGAACGCGGTACGCGAGCTGGTGGCGGCGACTGAGCGCGCAGCTAATTTTTTGTATTTTTAGTAGAAATGGGGTTTCACCACATTGGCCAGGCTGGTCTCAAACTCCTGACCTCAGGTGATCCACCCTCCTTGGCATCCCGAAGTGCTGGGATTACAGGTGTGAGCCACTGGGCCTGGCCAATTTATATATATATATATATATATATATATATATATATATATATATTCCTTTTCAAATATATATATATATAATTTATATATATATTCTCTTTCTCTTTCTCTATGTATATATACATAGATATATTTTTAGATGGAATCTTGCCCCGTCGCCCAGGCTGGACTGCAGTGGTGTGATCTCAGCTCTCTGCAACCTCCGCCTCCTGGGTTCAAGCAATTCTCCTGCCTCAGCCTCCCGAGTAGCTGAAATTACAGGCCTGCACCTCCATGCCTGGCAAATTTTTTGTCTCTTTAGTAGAGACAGGGTTTCACCATGTTGGCCAGGCTGGTCTCGAACTCCTGACCTCATGATCCATCTGCCTTGGTCTCCCAAAGAGCTGGGATGACAGATATAAGCCTGGCCAATTAATGTATCTTTTTAAAGAGGCTCCATTTTTAAACTTTAATACCAACCTTAGCTTCTTCCTAAGCCATCATATCAATGAAACAATGGATCTGATATTTTACATACACATATACATACATATGTATACACACAGACATATATATCTACATACATATACATATCTTTCCTAGTGCACACAGAAATAAATCACAAACTATTAAAAAACCTTTGGGGGCTAGGCACAGTGGCTCTTGCCTATAATCCCAGCACTTTGGGAGGCCAAGGCAGGAGGATTGCTTGAGGCCAGGAGTTCAAGATCAGCTTGGGCAGCACAGTGAGACGTCGTTTCTAAAACAAACGACGAACGGTGTCGGATACGCTGGGCAGCACCACGCGCTGGTATATGGCAGACACACACTCGATGCAGCTAGTCTGCTTCTTGTCAAAGCCTGAGCTGTGTACTGAGTTTCTACTACTTCGAGAAGCCGTCCCTGGTCTCGCCCCACCCCCAGCTACCCTATGGGGACTCCCTCTATCATCTTAGGAGGTGTTAGAGTTGCCACCGAGTTTGGGTGTCTTCCTCTCCGCTCCACGCTGGAGGCCACCTCAAGGCACAAACTGGATTTTACCACCTCTGTGTCCCAGTGCCCAGTCCAGGCCAAGGCACCCGACCAGGAGGGGTGTGTGTCTGAGGACGGGTATAAAATGCCAGAGTCCACATGAAGGATCACAGCCAAGCAGCTCCATCTAACCCCAAGTGGCTGGGAGTTAATCATCAAACCTGGGGAGATCACAAACAGCCCAAGAAGGATGTACATCTGTGCCGCCTGGTCTTCCTGCACCCACCTTCCACATAGGGAAACTGAGGCCCAGAGATGGGCATGATCTGCTTCGGTTCACACAGTGAGATGGTGCAGACACAAGACATGAATTTGACCATGTTATCCCCCCGCCTAAAGCCTTCTGTGGCTCCCTAGTGCCCCTGGGTAAGGTCCAAACTCTGGATTGGTACAAGCATCCCTGTGGACTCTGATCTCTGCTGGTGTCTCCAGCCCCAACCCCACTTGCTTCCTCACCCTTGCCTTCTCCTTCCCAGCCCCACTGGATACTTCCCCGACCCTGGAACACACCATGTTTTTCATTTCCAGACCTTTGTCCTCCCTGTGCTTGACTCCTGGCTTCACTCAGACTTCCCCTCCTCCAGGAAGCCTTCCCAGCTCCCTAGGGCCAGGTGGGGTGCCTGCACTGGATTACAAAGCCCTGCCCGCTCCTCAGCTGCCAACATCTGATAGCACTGCTAATAATTGCTCTCTAATGGCCCCTGAGTGCTTTGAGAAGGCAGGGGACATGCTATCTTGTTTGAGGCCAAAAGTCCAGGGATTGGCACATAGTAGGTGTCTAATATTTATTGAATGAATGGTCATTCATTTGAGTAGTAAATAATTTCGTGGGTTCTCATGTTGGGTGTAAAAGATCAGAGATGCAGAGGTGCTTCAGACAAAAATATACCTTTCCCACATGACGAATAATAATTGTTTTATTGGCCGGGTGCCAAGATTATGCCAGTAATCCCAGCACTTTGGGAGGCCGACGCGGTGGATCACCTGAGATCAGGAGTTTGAGACCAGCCTGGGCAACATGGCGAAACTCCGTCTCTACTAAAAATACAAAAATTAGCTGGGCATGGTGGCAGGTGCCTGTAATCCCAGCTACTTGGGAGGCTGAGGTGGGAGAATTGCTTAAATCTAGGAGACAGAGGCTGCAGTGAGCCAAGACCGTGCCACTGCAACCCAGCCTGGGCGATGATTGAAACTCCATCTAAAAACAATATTGTTTCTTTGTCCGTGTTTTCCCATCTCAGATGTAAGCAACCCCAAGAGGGGTTCAGCGGAAGTGGATGGCATCTGGGACAATCACTAGACCTAAAATGAGAGGATATGGAGATGCCTGCATCATGGAAGAGATGGCCAGGGCCTGGGGGGAAGGCTCTCTGCCCCTTGCTGGCTGGGTAGCCTTGGCCAGGTAAGTTCCCTTCTCTGAGCTTCAGTTTGCTCATCTGTCAAATGAGGCAGGGTGGTCTACGAGTCATATAGGCAGTGCATGAGTCACAGGCAGTTCAGGGGAAGGCAGCGAGGCTTGCTCTCATCCCCTCTCCTCCTCCGTCTTCACCCGGAGCCTTAGGATCTGGAGCTGTGTCTTTAACAAGGGAGGAGGGGCCAAGGTTGCAGGAAGCTGACCAAAGCTGGGCAGGGCTGTTTCCCCCCCCTCAGGCTGGAGGGCAGCAACTGCGGCCGCGCTGGTCTGGGACAGTCTGGCAGAGAGGTGAGGGGCCTGGGGCCAGCTGGGGCCTCTGGGGCTCAGCGTGTGCGTGAATGAGAGACTGTTGGAGTTTGGGAGGCTTTGGGCAAAGTCCAAGCTGAGCAGGTGGAAGGGAGAGGGGCTGAGCGTGGTCTAGGCCTTCCCAGGAATGTCGATTCAATTCAGGGTGCCCTGCAGAAGAAGGCACGGTGCTGGGGACCCTGAGGGGCGAGAGTGGGTTCTGCTGCCAGAGGGGCAGGGCTGGGCATTCTGCCAGCCAAGGGGCTGGCCTGAGTTGTCCCAGCCCTGGCACCAGGGATTGGGCTGTGGAGTGCCACCCAGGTGGCCTCTGGGGAAATACTTTGGGGACAAGGGAGGTGGACAGCATTGGTGGGCCTTACCTCAACTCAGAGATGTGACAGGTAAGGCCCAGTGACAAAAGTGACTTGGCCAAGGTTGGCATGACTGGGACCTGAGCCTAAGCCCCATGCCTCCCCTTGGGTTATTCCACAGCAGGGAGAACCCAGGTCCCCCATTTCAGCCCCAGTGGCTGCCATACTGGACAAGAGCTGTGTGTCCCTGGGTCAAGACAGCTCAGCCCCAGACCTGAGGTGCCTGATGGGGTCTGGGGTTGATAAGGCTGTTGGCAGCTTGGGGCTTTTTCATTTAACTGATGCCCACTGTCCTCTTGCGAGTCAGTATAACCAAGAGAGCTGGGGAAGCCTGGAAACTGAGCCAGGAGCATTTGGTTCCTAAGGACAATTGGCAATAAATATTAAATGCCTACAGCTTTCATAAGAGCAATGATAACGCTAATATATTGGAGAAGTATAGCATCGTGGTTAATAGCACGGATGCCGAAGACACTGCCTGGCTGTGAATTCTGGCTATGCTGTTTCTAACTGTGTGACCTTGGATAAGTTACTTAATCTCTCTGGGCCTCAGGTTCACTGTCTACAAAATGGAGTCAATGGCGAGTTAATGGCTCACCTGTTGTGGGCCAACAGGTGACTCATACCTGCTATCCCAGTGCTTTGGAAGGTGGAGACAAGAAACTGACCTGAGGCCAGGAGTAAAAGACCAGCCTGGACAACTCAGCAAAACTGGGTCTCTACAAAAATGTAAACATCAGCCAGATGCAGTGGTGCATGTTTATAGTTCCAGCTACTCAGGAGGCTGAGGTGGGAGGATTGCTTGAGCCTGGGAGTTCAAGGTTACAGTGAGCCACGATCGCACTGCTGCACTCCAGCCCAGGCGAGAGAGTGAGACCCTGTCTCTTAAAAAACCACCAAAAAACAAGAAAGAGGAAGGATTATGGAGAAGGGGAGTTCATTCTGACAATTCCAGGGTCCCCAGGGGCAAAATCTGAGGATTTTACAAGAAAGGAAGAGGGACCCAATCTCAAGTGGACACACACATCAGATCGACCCCTGCCCTCCACCCAGCGGGGGTGCCCTTACTAGGCAGCCTCACTGAATCCTCACATGGCACAGTCCTGCCATGCATATGCTCTTCTTGCAGTTTGTTGTGTGTTTGGTGAGACAGAGTCTCGCTCTGTCGCCCAGGCTGGAGCGCAGTGGCGTGATCTCGGCTCACTGCAACCTCTGCCTCCTGGGTTCAAGCAATTCCTCTGCCTCAGCCTCCCGAGTCGCTGGGACTACAGTAGTGCTTGGCACCATGTCCAGCTAATTTTTTGTTTTTTAGTAGAGACAGAGTTTTTCACCATGTTGGCCAGGATGGTCTCGATCTCCTGAACTCGTGATCCACAGCCTCGGCCTCCCAAAGTGCTGGGATTACAGGTGTGAGCCACTGTGCCTGGCCAGTTTGTTCTCATTTTTCAGGTCTTAGTTTTAATGGTCACCTCCTCTAAAAGGCCTTTCCTGACCTCCATACCCAAAGCAGGTCCCCTTGTTCTTCTCTTTAGTACTCCCTATGTGCGTGTTTCCCTCTTAGCAGTTTTCAACATTTCTGATTATTTTGTTTGTCTATGCAGTTATTTGTTAAGTGTCCATCTCCTCATCAGACTATAAGTCAGCTCCAAGGTAGATGTCTATTTTGTCCACAGCAGCATCTCCTGTTGCTAGGTCAGGACCTGCATCTTGTAAGTGCCTGGTAAACATGCTAAAGTAAGGGTGAGCAGGTCAGCATGCTCAAAGCATGACACAAGGTACCAGTGAGATAACGTCTTCAGAGGACTCAGCCAACGACTGACACGTATTAGGCACTCAACAAATGATAGATGTTATTCTTTTTTTTTTTTTAAAGACAGAGTCTCACTTTGTCGCCCAGGCTGTAGTGGTGCTATCTCGGCTCACTGCAACCTCTGCCTCCCAGATTCAAGTGGTTCTCCCGCCTCAGCCTCCCAAGTAGCTGGGACTACAGGCATGTACCGCCATGCCCGGCTAATTTTTGTATTTTTAGTAGAGACGAGGTTTCACCATGTTGGCCAGGCTGGTCTCAAATTCCTGGCCTCAAGGGATCCGCCCGTCTCAGCCTCCCAAAATGCTGGGATTACAGGCATGAGCCACCACACGTGGCTGATGTTATTCTTATTAATTTATACCATAACCTATGAGTTGGGGACTGTTTTTATCCCCATTTCACAGAAGGGGAAACAGGCACAGAGAGGTTGTGACACTTACTTGGGTCACACAGCCAGGAAGTCAGAGCTGGTTTTTAACGTTTGTTCTGATCAACCCCAAAGCCTGTGCTCTTGGAGTCCAGGGTTGAGCTGAGGCCCAGGCTGGGGTATGCCACATTTGGGGATCAGTGATGACCCAAGATGAGAGGTGTCTTGGATGAGACTGGGAAGAGTTTGCTCAGGCTGTGCCCTGCCTGAGGGGGCCCTGAGGATTCCCACGGCTTTCTGACAAGGGTGCGGGATCAAACTCAGGGCCAAGAGACCTCGATCTCTGATCTTGGAACCCCAGCCATGACTTAAAGTTGGACAAGAAGTTTAGGTTTCTGAGTGGGCAGGGGAGGTTGGAGCGCTCCCCCTAGCGGCCAATAATGGAATGGTGGAACCAGCCCAATGCTTTTCTGCCTGGGAGAAGAGGGACTGGCTGTATGTTCCTTTTTTTTCTGCTGTTTTTACTCCCTCTCATTTCCTCCCTCTCTTCTTTCCGTCCTTACCCACTGGTCCATTCACTCACAACTCCTTGGCTTAAAACCTCCCAATGCGCTGAGCGCGGTGGCTCATCCCTGTTGTCCCAGCACTTTGGGAGGCCAACGTGGGCAGATCACTTCAGCTCAGGAGTTTGAGACCAGCCTGGCCAACATGATGAAACCCCGACTCTACAGAAAATACAAAAATTAACCAGGTATGGTGACGTGCACCTGTGGTCCCAGCTACTTGGGAGACTGAGGCAGAAGAATCGCTTGAACCCGGCGGCAGAGGTTGCAGTGAGCCGAGATTGCACCACTGCACTCCAGCCTGGGCGACAGAGCAAGACTCGGTCCCAAACACCACCACCATCGCCCCCTCCTCCCCCTCCCCCTCCCCCTCCTCCTCCTCCTCATGGCTTTGCATTGTGAGTAGAATTTGAATAACTTCCAAACATTTCTCTGTGGATGGGAAACCCCTGGCGGCACCCTTGCCCACCTCTCCGCCCTCACCTCCTCCCTTCCCCCC